TCCCAGTGAATGTACAACTTGTTTCTTTTGTGAAGTGCTTCTGCCTGCAATTTCTAATTAACTAGCTCCATTCTTTCCTACAACAAGTAGCTCAACGCACACAAGCTACAATATATACTTCAGCTAAATATATGTAGGTATGACTTTAAAAGGAGATAACTAGTTAACAACATTTGCATGTTGCAAAGAGGTTCAATTAGTATAATAATTCTGAAATCTTGCTTTTAGCCTGTTCCCTGCATAGCTTCCCTGTACTGAATAAAATCTGTACACTAAAGATATGTTTGCAGTTAAAAATCTCCAGAGACTTTAGACCCATACATAAAGATACTTATTTCACTCTTTTCTGAGACACTGACCTGTATCCTCATTTAAAAATGAACACCACATCTTTATGTTATTAAATCTTTGTTTTGATCTATTAGTATTCACCAAAGTGCCATTTTATACAACCCCACACTGAATAGGCAAGGCTGGAGGTAACCATCTGCAGCTTTAGAGTCAGCGTTTGAATTGATGAAAAGAGCTTTGTGTTTTCATTGCCAAGTTTGATTCTTCCAGTCATTAGACATTCCCCTCAGATCGCATCAATGAAGTGAACTCCCTTACACCCATGTGTTAAATTCTCTTCTCCTCATGGTTTCCTTTGCCAGCTATACTCCAGAAAGACTACTGGGTCTTAGCCACATTCTTCTCACAGCTGTGTTAAAAAAGAGCATCAGAGCTTCTTCCCAAAATCCATATGTGTATCTGGTCAGTCCCCTGTTGGAGGGTCACCTCACATTGTGGTGTGATTATTCAAATATTCATCCTTGTTCTTCAACTGCACTGCTCTGATCATTCTGGGAAAGATTAGACCCTCCAGCCAGCACTGAAGAACGTGTTGGACATTGATTTGAAATACACACAGCCCCCGCACTCAGAAGGCAGATTAGTTTTACTTGCAGAAGAGGGGTTCACTAATTACTTAATAAATGCTTGCTTCTTATTTCTTTATATTTTTTGTATTGTTTTCATCTGTGTCAGCTGTTGGTAATAACTTTTTGGTTTTGTTGTTTCATAGATGAACTTATACATCAGCATCAGCTAAGAAAATAAATGAACAAGTACAAAAGCAGAGAAAGCATTTTCAAAAAGGCTGGAGGGAAATTCAGGACTAAACAAATAAAGGATGTGTTCCACTCACAATGAAAGTTAGGTGATAAAAAAAAATAAATCTGATCTTAAGGGGTAAAGCAAATGTTATTAAGGATAGAATTTAATTCAGAAGACCACTTAGTTTTCTTATGTATTCAATCAACTGAAATTTTTTGTTCAAAGCTGCAATTCTCCTGACTTCCTCTTTAAAAGGAAGAAAAAGAAAATTGAAAAGGTCTCTAATAAACAGTTAAGGACAAATGAAGCAATGACTTCTGGTTTACATCACTTTTATATTAGCTTTATTCATAGTTAGAGCTACCTTGACAAAGCACACAAGCAGGCAGGATCCTTCTCACCATTTATGCTTATTTTCATACCTGTATATTTTAGTACTGCACTGTTACTTTGTGGATTTGTGTTTGTTTTTAGAGGATTACATAGACATTCTACCCACTCACCCTCCTCTGCCACTTCACACAGCTACACGACTATGCAAGTGTAGCTGTGCTTACATGCAGAGCTGTGCTTTACTGAGCTAGAATCATTAAATTATGAGAAAAAAACAGAAGCCCCCAGAAGCCCCAGTAGACAAATTGCATTAAAATTCACGCCAGCTGTAAAGCTGTGGCAGAAAAATAGAACATTTTCTGGAAAAACATCAAAAGTGGCCTCAACCTTTACTGATAATTGGCTAATATTGATTTGGTATTACATTATAACCTGCTCTGATCTCACTGACATCAGCAACCACTCCACAATCCCAGAGGTTCCAGCCGGAAGGACATTTTTAAAATGCCTTGCTTCCTCTGTTGGTAGAGGTATTAATTAATTCACAGGCTCTCCCAGCCACCTTCTCCAGGTCAGCCCCATTTCCCTGCTGGGACTGCACCAGCTGGCTCCTGGCTTCTCAGGCAGGACAAACTTGTAGGGGGCCTGTGCTACTATAACAACACTCCTGGTGAATTCTGTGCTCCTGCCCTAATTCTTTGTAAACAAAATAGAAACAGTAATTAAATCTAGAAAATTACAGTCATAGCCATTCCAGAATATTGATTAAAAATATTACTGTGCAGATCATAATAGTCTACTGAATAAATATGTATTGTTTTGAGCATGCATACATGTACTTATTTACACAGACCACAGCTAAAACGTGTACTTGCTTTATAAAGATAAGCGCTCTCTTAAAAGTATAAGTGTATATTGATAGTGTCTCAAAATCAAAAGAGATTCAAGCAAATGCAGCTAAATCTATGTGGCCACCCTCTGAGCATCAATGTTTCTTGTTTTACACCAGCACCCCTGTTAGGATGGTGAATCATCTTCACAGGCAGGAGCAGACAGGCTCAATTTACATCTCACACTTCAGCTAGCCAACGTGAGATGTTCACCCTACTTCAGTATGAACAGATGCTTACTATGCCCAAGTTGACTATAAGTAGATACCAAAACATCCCCCTTCTGGTTCACAACTGCTGTTTCATGTAGGATAGGATCAAGAAATTTTTTAGATGCTTTTTGTCCTGATGGAAAGCACAGGACCACTATTGTGACTTTGGTTTCATGTCAAGAAAGCAACAACTACCGGTGGGTACACAAATGGCTGACATGATGGAAATGCTGTGGAGAATTACAACTCTCTTTTAAGCTCTGCATATCATGCTGAATGCAAACACTGAAGTTTTTAAGAATATTAAAAAATTTTTTAGTGTTGCCAGAGGAGAGATTAGCTGAGGCAGTGTAGAACTAGTAAACTACATTGTATGAAGATACAAAGTACATATTTTCTCAACATTCTTATTTACAATGATGTTTTTTCTTAATGAAGGTCATAAATATTTCACTCTTCTGATTTTTAAGTGTTGATATTTTACTGAATAATATTGAGAAACTACTTCATACAGCTGACAAAACTACTTCCTTCATATGTCAGAATTCAATTTTAGTCGAGCATGTAAAGAAGTCAAGAAAACAGATTATTTTATAACGGCCTTTAGTCTATGAATTTTAGTGACACATTTTAAACTACACTAAGCATCCTCTTAAGGCAGTGCTAATAATTAATACTACTGTAATTAATACCAAAAAGCCTTTCTGTTGACAGGTTTATAAATTGTCAGTTCTTTTTAGAAATGTAGAACATCCTACATCTTCTAAATAAAATGCTAAGCTAACAAATGAGTTCCTGCCTAATTGCCAAACACTGATTTGTATGAAGCAGTTGAGGTTACAAAGAAATTGGGAATTCTCAGCCTGGTTTCCCTGCTGATGAGTACGAACTGTCTGTGTAGCTCTCCCAGAGGTGTCAGAGGAATCTCTATAGTGTCACACAAGGGTTCTTAGCTCAAAGTAAACACACTTTCCACAAACTCAGCTGCTTAATCTGTTTGCAGGTTGAATTATAAGATGGGGGTGGATGACTCCGGGTGCTGGGAAGACGGGCAGAGCATTTCCACAGTTTCGTGGTAAAAAGGGCATGCTATTGTCATCAAAAGACTTCAACCAATTGTTTGATTTTGCTATAGGCTCAGTCGTCTGATCTTAACAATAATGAAAACTAACCTGACCAAAATTTTCCCAAGTAGTTGAGCATGTTAAATTACGTAAATTCTTTTCACTATAGTGGTGCATCACCACTACTTTAATTCAGTTTGTGGCTGCACTTCTACTTTAGCCACCCTGGGTACATGGGATTAAACAAGATTGTTTCACTTTGGAAAGAAAAAACAGCGAAAACTCAACCTCTGCTTAAATAGCTATATTATTAAACATTTATAAATAAAACTAGATGTAACAACTTTACACAGTTAAAAAGGTTCCACCAATATTCTCTTTACCATAACTTAAATTTTTTAATAGTTTTAGCAAGCACACACCTCTCAGAGTTTCAAATGTGTCTAAGTGCTCCGAATAAAGACTTGAGTGATTATACAATCACTGGAGGGTTTAAAGAGATGACTAAAAAGATGCATTTTCATATATAAATATCTTAATTATATTTTATGTAGTTATGAATAAATGAAAAATATAGGAATAGAACTATTTAAAAATAGAAGAACTCAGCATGTGGTTTTATTAAACAAGAAAAGCTTTTGTTAGGTCCCTGCAATATATTATAAGCCAATTTCTGGCTACTCTGTAAATATGCTGTAGACATTAAAGTTGAAGACATATATGGACAGACAGAAAATTTGCATCAGCTCAGCATCAGCAACCTTGGAAGGGTGAGAGAGGAGAATTTTGCAGTTGATGAATGTAATGCAGTGATGAGGCACTACTAATAACAAACATGACAATAAGTACTTAACTAGAGATGAATGTCAGGTTTTGGAGTTCAGTAACCTTTTAACAGGGAAACTCATGATGGGAAAGAAAATACAGTCTCTGTTCACTGACTCAGAGACTTCCTGTGGCTCTCAGTGACATTTTGAAGCCATCCCTATACAACCCCATACACATTTACTGTGGCATAAAACTTGCCAGATGTGTAACAGGACAGAAATGAGAACCGTAATATTCTACCATGCAATTATAAAGGGAAATATTCCGTAGCCATAGGATTGCCACAGGGTAAAAGAACAGTGAAAACCATTCATGGAAGATGGAAAGACTTTCTCTGTGCCTTGCACATGGAGGAAGCAATTTCCTTAACAGTAATGAGAGGTACCCTGACTTGCCTAATAGCACAAAACTGTTAAAATGATCAGCTTCACACTGAGTAGGAAATGAGGACAAAGGAAGAATCATTTTAAAGGACCTTTTCTGAGTACTGCCACACTTTCAGTTATAGACAAAATATCTGAAAAAAATGCTTCCTGTGGATTACAACGGCAATTTTTGTTGGAAGGCAAGTGACTTACTTTTGAACTTTTTCATTGGCCTCCTGTGAAGCTTCCAGGGCTTTCTGGAGCTTCAGCTCGGTGTCCTTTTGTTCTGATCGAGTTTGCTGCAGCTGAGCTGCCAGTTCTTCAATCTGGCCGTAGGTTAGGGTCACAACATCCTCCCTTCCCTGCAGTTCACCTTCAGAAGTACTGAAAGCACAGTTAGGCTGGTTCTTCAGACTCAATCCTTCAGACAAAGACTTGTATAACCTGGGAAAACCAAATCATAATGTTATTAAATTTCAGTCTAAGGCTGAGCTGCAAGAATTAATTAATACTATCAATATTGTCATATATGTGGAATTACATGCACTAGTAACAAAACAAATTATACTTCAGAAGTGACAGAGAACAAAAAGAACAAACCTTTCCTGCAATGCTCTTCCAGAAGTATGTAACAACAATCAAAATTTGAAAAAGTAAAAAAAAAATTCAACAAAAACTCAAGAGGAAGTATTTTTCAGCTGTAGCATCTTGTTGATCACCTCTGAGCTGCAACAAAAAGTTTTTATTGTGATTTACATGAAGTTGAATTAATCAGTATAAGTTACTGATGCGTTAATAACTTGTGGTACACAGGACTCTCTTTTAGCAAGCAGAGCCACCAGCTACAGGGGATTTATTTGCAAAAGAAGACTTTTCAATAAAATGAAAGGAATAAAACCACTACAGTTCAAAAATTAAAATCAGTAAATCAGCAGGATTACTTAGTAATATGATTTGCACATGCTAATCAATTCTAAAGGTCTCCATTCAGTTTTATCCAGGATTTTGAGGTACTTTCATAGAGATTCCAAATCAAAGAGTACAAAACCAACACTCTTTCAATGCACAAACCAGAATATAGTAGTAAATGCTTTGTATTTGTGTGCCAGAAAGTTCTGGACAAATCAAACATTATTTTGCATGGATTTCTAGTAGCTGAACACACTGATTAAAGTATTCAAGACAGTCTACATGACACCTGCTAGTATGCAATTGCATATTTTCTTTCTCTGCAGTTTATTAAGGTGTTTGCATGGAAAACACTGACTGTTCCAACAGCCCATAAAGGAAAACCATAAATAAACTAAAATATAATACACACAGACAAACAAAATGTGGATCAACTAAGAGAAATAGAGAAGCTAAAAGGTCAGAGTGTTGACATGTCATCATGCATACTACCTGTGATTATCTGAAAACAATGTGAAAAATCTTTTCAATTAAATGAAGACATACTGAAAATATAAATATTTATAAAGGGACATTAGCATTCCTAGAATGGACTAATTAAAAAAAATTACTCTAACAGTTGCACATAAAATTTACTGACTGAAGTTCCACTACAGCTGAGCATTGATCACCATGGAAAAACACAAAGGTATGCAAATAATGTCGAAAGCAGGTTACTGAAATACCACTGCTGCCCACTTCTTAAACACCTGGCACAAGATTAAAAGAACAAAAAAGACAGATGAGAAGCTAAACTGTTCAGTGGGTCCCTGATTAAAAAAAAAAAAGCAACAAAAACTGGAGGACAGACGAAATATTCTACCTGGTTCACACCAGCTCGGAGTTTTTTCCCAGAATATATGAAAAATAAAGTAATTTATTTAGATCCTAAAACACTGGCTCTCTGTGACTGCAACTGGGCTCCTTTTCAAAGACTGGCCATGAAAAACACATATATACTATTATAATTGCAATGTAATACTACATGTCTTAACTCATAATGATTACATTTGAGTGACCAATAGATTCTGATGTACACTTTGTAACCAGTGTGATTCCTCCAGATAAAGGCACTGTGATTGACAGATCTTTTAACATTTTTTTTTTCAAAAGCATGTAATTTCCAGACTTCCATAAATATGTGTTTTGGTAAAATACATTTATTTCATCCCTTCTGAAATGTACCAATTTGAAATTACTTAATTTACCTGAAGATTATTTCTTCATGCTATAACGAAAAAGAAATGGGAGTTCTAGGCCTGAAGAATGGGTCACAGAAGTATTTAAATAGTTCCTGGATTTCATTAATTCACATTTTCTTGCTAGTGAGTCTTTCGCTTTACTATGGCAACACGGCCTCTTTCCTGCTCCAGCTTGGGTCTGAGAGTTCAGGGACCTGCCTTAAGTGTCTAGGCAGAAGAAAAAGTGACATGGGTTGATATCACTTGTGCAGCTCCTGTAGAGAGCAGGAGGCTTCCTCAGTCACCAAAGTCAGAGTAATTTCAATCCTGCCAAGAAATATCACCAGTTGTAACTGCTCCCAGAGGGACTTGACTTTGGCTGAAAATCAACTCTGTGAAGTGCTGCTCCTAAAACACTTCTCACCTTGCCTGGCATACTTTTGCTGCTAGGTGGGAAATGATTTTCCACCTGAAGCAATAACTGAACAACATAGCAAAACCTTCCACCTAAAGGAACAAAAAAAAAACTCAGCAAAAAACCAAACATTCCCTACCCATTCCCTCCCTCTGCCTCCACCCCAGTGATAAACATGTCCAATGTTCCCAAAGGCATGTAGCTCTGACCTTGGTTTTCACCACAAATGTTTCTCACAGGTCCTGGAGACCTCTCAGACCTCAGCCTGCACTCAGGGTGGCTTTGAAGAGCGTCCCCTCATGCCACTGAGTGCACTCAAGGGCCAGGCAGCATCGATACCTTGAAAGTACTACCTCAAAGGTGCTCTTAGGAAACACTGCAATAAGACGGTATCAAAAAAAGCCCATAAGCCCTAAAAGGACTTTGAAATTTTGCTGTGAAGTGGAAGATATTAAACAGTCAAGTTTGCAATACATGTGAGTCAGGAGCCTGACAGCTGGTAGACTGCTAACTAGATGACATGGCCCTACCATAGACAAATATTTTACTACTCTTCCTTTGCCTGCATTTACACAAGGTAAGAGGACTGTGTTTTCTTCCCAGTACAACAAACCACCTCTCGCTAATTTATCTGAAGGCAGCAGCCAAAGGCAGACTCTGGCATGCAGGTATGGACTATGTTACAGGAATGCTCATTGCACATAATGCAGAGCGTGCTCTTTGCACTGTCACAGTCCATCACAGTGTAACTCTCTTGTGTGATGTACCCATGCATTCTTAGTCTAGAGCTCAGGCAACCTCAACCACTTGTTGAACAGAGGCCACTGTTGATTTTCTTCTCTGTGGTGGTTGAGCATACAACTTCAGGACTTCACAGCAGACTATGTGAACAGATCGGTGCTGATCAGGCATGTCCATACTGTCCAGACTCAATTACTTGTGAGTATGGAACAACAGTGAGTGGCACCTTGAGATTCAGCCTTTAGTCCTGAAATGATCTAGAGAAATCTGCAACCTGTACCAGGGTCCTAAGAGCCTGGACACTACACGATTCAAACACAGGTTCATTAGCTACAGTGAAAACTTGAATTGACTACTATCCATCTTAGAATTTCTGTGTTTCAACAAATATCAATTAAAGGCCACTAGCAAACCCTCCTTGGGTCTCATCTTTAAATAAGAGCAATCACAATGCTACCTTTGCAAAATGTTCTGAGCTTTATTAATATTAAGAGACTCATCACTGTTCAAAGAGCTAAGTTAGATGCAGCACAATCAGAATTTAGGACAAAACTAAACCCAGATGGTTTTCTGGTGATGCCAAACAGCAAACATATACTTTTCACCTTAATTTTTACTGTCCAGGACCACTGAAGTACCCCTACCATTTCCCTGTGATTAGCCTGGGACAGGAAGTAAGGATGTAGAGTTAATAATCTGAGCCTTTCATGAAGCTGAAGGACTACCAAGATATGCTCTCAAATAAGACATAATTGGAAACCATACCTCTATTACAAACTCTTCATTTAGGGAGTTGAACAGTAATCAAATGTCTTCTGTTCACTTTATGCAGCCCCTGGGCAAATTGCTCAGATAGCACAGCCTTATGTGAGTGACATGCACATGACATTCAGCACCACCTATCATTCTTCACATTCACCATGCTATCAAATGGTCTAGGACCTCCACAAAAATAATTTCTGGATTAATAGTTTGGTCGAAACAGAGCAAAACATACATGGGACTGATCAGTAGAAGGAAGTGTTTTTGATGTGTTTGCAGTTATAGTGCTATTCCCTTCAGCTAGAGCAGACCTGTGGTAATTGGGAGTGGGGCTGTGGCCAGCCTCATCCCCAGTGGGCACAGCTGTGAGCAGCACTGACAGCAATGAGCCATGGAGTGCCTAGGGGCACTGACCACTCACAAAGAGAACAGAAGGCACATAGGTGCAATGCATGAACATGAGGTTTATAAAAGTTTGGACTGAAGAACAAGAAGGGCAGCTGCTTGAAGCCTTCTATGTGGTAAGGTGTTACTCTGTATGGGTGAATATCTAAAGCCTTCTGAAATGGTGTGGTGATCCTCTGTGTATTGCAGTTGTCCCAACTGCGGCAGGTGCTGTGACACAGGCCCACAGCTAAGGAGCCAGCTTGTAGCTAAGAAATCCACCTGAATTCCCTGGGTACCTGATCCACCAGGGGCTGGGGTCTCTGCTATCTCTTATTGATTAGAGACTGCAAGATTGCAGCTTAGCTATTTTCTCACACAGAGATATAGTGCACACCAGTTCACAGAAGAGACTACTGTAGATTTTATGCTTTAATCCTGAATACTACTTGCTACATTTTAATATTAATTCCACACCTTCAGAGTTCCACAATGTATCTGTGCTAATTGCAAAACACAGATTCACAGATTCTTACATTTCTTCCATTAATTAGAGAACTGCAATACAGCAAACTATTGCAAATATTCTTTGTAGTTTTCCCAAGTTATGTTTTTCCTAGAACCAAGCTTACCATAAAATGTTCCAGTCATTTTTGACAGGGAATTGGCCGTATTAGCATATTCTAGCCTAAGCATTTACCATGAAGGCTTGCTTGTAACTAAGTAAAATTAAGTGAAAATTAAAAAATTGTAAGGTGTTCACTTTATCCCACTAGATGCTACAAATAAGAATTTTGCTATCTTGTATCTGTTCTTTATTGTCAATTCATATGCTTTGGCCATTCTTAAATATTTGCCAATGGCTTTAGTTAACAAAATAACTTTAACTTAGTATTTGTAATATTGTAGTTATTCCCTACAGTAATAGATTATTTAGGTAACACTGCAAATAGAGAGGGAACCTTATCTATTAATCGAAGACAGAGCTGGCACCATGAGTGACCTCAGTATGT